CACTGAGTCAACTAGATGGCACTTAACAGCAAGAATTGTTTCAGTTAAACCACGTAACAGTAACTAAACTTTGGTTTTCTCAACTGCAAATGTGGGACTAACATTCTGTACCTTACAGGACTGCTAAAAGTATAAACCAGGTAAAATGTAAAAGCATTTGTAAACTGCAACATATAATATTCGTGCTACTAATTTTATGATGGGGTTTCAAAATATTCGTGAAAAAATTCTATTACCTTTCACTTGTATTTTTCCACAAATTTTTTAAGCCCCCTTGAATGCTCTGTTCTTATTACATGCTGTCGAGTCAGTTCCAATCCATAGCAGCCTGTATAGGGTTTCCGTGGAGCGACTGGTGAGCTTGAACCACTGAAGCTTGAACCACTGACCTTGCCATTCAAACCAACCTTGCAGTCCAGCACATTAACTCACAGTTGCACACTTAACTACTACATACTTTTTTGCCTTCTTAACCAGAATATGGAGTCCTGGTGTGGCGCTGTAGGATAAACACTGGACACGAGGTCAGTTTTAACAACAAGCGTGGAGGTTCAAACCCACCAGCCACTCCTCGGAAACTAAACAGACTCACTCTGATTTGGAATCTACTCAGTGGCACTGAACTACAACAAATCAGAAGACACAGAAAATGATTTAAATCACAGCCACAATTATGAATAAAAATTATCATGAAAAGCTTTTATATAGCAACAACAGACAGGTAAAAGATGTCAAAATGCTAGTCTGACAGTTTGGGTGCTTCCTTGTCATAGCTGTTAGTAGGTACTATCAAGTCAACTCCGAATACAGCAACTCTACGTGCAACAGAATGAAACACTGTCCAGTTCTGCACCATTCTCACAATTATTAAGCTTGAGACCACTGTTGCTGTCACTGTGCCAATCCATCTCACTGGGGGTCGTCCTCTTTTTCAGTGAAACTCTACCATGCATAATGTCCTTCTTCAGGGACTGATCCCTCCTGATAACATCCCCATGGTCTCAACATCCTCACTTCTAAGGAGCATTCTGGCTGTACTTCTTCCAACACAGACTTGTTGGTTCTTCTGGCAGTCCATGGTACTTTTAACATTTTTGTCCAACAACATAACTCAAATGCATCCATTCTTGTACAGTCTTTCTTATTCACTGTCCAACTTTCACATGCATATCAGGCTATTTAAAATAGCATGGCTTGGGTTGGGCATACTTAAGTCCTCAAACTGACTTCTTGACTGCTGGTTTCATGAATATTGACTATGGATCCAAAAATGAAGTCTTTGGTAACTTCAATCTTTCTCCATTTATCATGATGTTATTTACTGGTCCATTTATGAAGATTTTTGTTTTCTTTACAAAGAGGTAAAATCCATACTGAAGTCAGTGGTCTTTGATCTTCATCAGTAAGTATTTTAGTTCTCTTTGCTTCCAGCAAGCAAGGTTGTATCATCTGTATATCGCAGATTGTTAATGAGTCTTCCTCCAATACTGATATTACGTTGTTCTTCATATAGTACAGCTTCTCAGACTATTTGCTCAGCATGTATGAATAAGTATTGTGAAAGGATACTATCCTGGTACACACCTTTCCTGATTTTAATGCATTCAGTGTTCCCTTGTTCTACTCAAACAACTGCCTCTTGTTCTATGTACAGGTTCTTTATGAGCACAAGTGTTCTGGAATATACATTTTTCGTAATGTTATCCATAGATTATCATGATCCACACAGTTGAAACTTTTTGCCTTCTTATAGCTCATTTTCTGTTTTCCAGTTCGTAGCTGAGATTTCTTACTGCATTACCATTACTTATAGGAATTCTTCCCAAAACAATGCTAGTTGAAAATCTCCTGTAATTTGCTGCTTCAATTTCTCTTTTACTTGTCTCTCAACAGATAACTAAGCCTTCTACTACATAAAGAAAAAGTGAAGACACCAAACAAGAACTCATAACTTTTTGCCACCAAACAGACAAATGAACCAGCAATGGAGACAAGTTCTTCTCTTCTCTCACCTACTTCCTATCTACAGATAAGGAATACTGGTGGTATAGTGGGTTAAGGGTTGGGCTGCAAACCACAAGGTCTGTGGCTAAAACTCACTGGAGCCTCGTTGGGAGAAAGATGAGGCTGTCTGCTCCTATAAAGATTTATAGTCTCGAAAAACCAAAGAAGCAGTTCTAGTCTGTCCTATAAGGTCACTATGAGTTGAAACCAAATCATAGGCCTTAAGAAAAAATTATTCTGATATAAAAACATATGCCCATCAATAAGTCTGTTTTTAAAAACGTGGATACTGCGGACCTAAATAAAATGATCCAATGGTCAAAAATTACTTTAAAGGAAGATATGAAAGATAAGGGGCATGAAAACTAGATCATAGGACAGTTGACATGTTGTGAAGAATGTAACCACCAATGTCACCAATTTGGGTAGAAATTGTCGAATGGAACTTAATCTGCTTTGTAAA